CATAGACAAGGATGTCAGCCACAGCACCGTGTCTTCCTTTGCAGATGACACTCGAATCTGCATGACAGTGTCTTCCATTGCAGACACTGCAAGGCTCCAGGCGGACATCAACCAAATCTTTCAGTGGGCTGCAGAAAACAATATGAAGTTCAACGATGAGAAATTTCAATTACTCAGATATGGTAAACACGAGGAAATTAAATCTTCATCAGAGTACAAAACAAATTCTGGCCACAAAATAGAGCGAAACACCAACGTCAAAGACCTGGGAGTGATCATGTCGGAGGATCTCACCTTCAAGGACCATAACATTATATCAATCGCATCTGCTAGAAAAATGACAGGATTGATAATGAGAACCTTCAAACCTAGGGAGGCCAAGCCCATGATGACACTCTTCAGGTCACTTGTTCTATCTAGGCTGGAATATTGCTGCACACTAACAGCACCTTTCAAGGCAGGTGAAATTGCTGACCTAGAAAATGTACAGAGAACCTTCATGGCGCGCATAACGGAGATAAAACACCTCAATTACTGGGAGCGCTTGAGGTTCCTGAACCTGTATTCCCTGGAACACAGGCGGGAGAGATACATGATTATATACACCTGGAAAATCCTAGAGGGACTAGTACCGAACTTGCACACGAAAATCACTCACTACGAAAGCAAAAGACTTGGCAGACGATGCACCATCCCCCCAATGAAAAGCAGGGGTGTCACTAGCACGTTAAGAGACCATACAATAAGTGTCAGGGGCCCGAGACTGTTCAACTGCCTCCCAGCACACATAAGGGGGATTACCAAGACCCCTGGCAGTCTTCAAGCTGGCACTGGACAAGCACCTAAAGTCGGTTCCTGACCAGCCGGGCTGTGGCTCGTACGTTGGTTTGCGTGCAGCCAGCAGCAACAGCCTGGTTGATCAGGCTCTGATCCACCAGGAGGCCTGGTCACAGACCGGGCCGCGGGGGCGTTGACCCCCGGAACTCTCTCCAGGTAAACTCCAGGTCCAGGTAAACAGGACCTTAAATTCCAATATTAACCTTGACCTAAATCGCTTTCTTGATAGTTGTGACAGGATCCACAGGCATAACACCAGACTCAAACATCTCTATGACTTTCCCCGTGTTCGACTAAACCTTTACAAAAATTCAATGTATTTCAAAGGACCTAAAATCTGGAACACCCTACCTGAAAACTCTAGAACTGCAGACACATTCATCACTTTCAAAACTACAGTTAGAAAACATCTTATCTCCCTGATCCACCCCGACAACTAACTACATGATAACCCCTGGTGGTTCACAATTACACTCACTCACCCACTGACTATAAACCCAGAAATACTAATCTTAATCTTAAAATAATAAATCCTAACTAGTCATAAGTTTGCCTATGATACTCCAATATAGACACTTTGTATTGTGCCAAAACAAAAGCATTCACATTGCTAAGCTCACAAATTATGATGTAGTCACTTAGCCTTAATACCATAATCTGTAAGGATTTAATGTTAAGAATTAATCTAAGTCTGCCCGAAATGCCTAGCCACGCTAGGTGTCCTAGTGGCCCCCTCTGTAATTAGTATTTTATAACATGTAAACCACACAATACCCAAAACCTGTAAACCCCACACTAACCCTTATAGAGAATAAACTTGAATTGAATTGAATCTTAACAACAGGAAACAAATTGTCAAAATCAACAAAACAGAATCAGAACACCTGCCGATAGCATGTGGAGTTCCCCAAGGTAGTATTCTGGGTTCTTTATCATTCTTATGTAAACGACATGCCCATTAGTGTCAAGTGCAAACTCCTTCTGTATGCGCATGACAGTGGTCTGTAAGTGTCAGGTAAAGACCCACGAGATATATCTAATGTAATAACACTGGAACTGGACTCCTGCAACAAATGGTTAGTAGACAACAAACGATCGTTATACCTCGGGAAAACTGAAGCCATACTCTTTGGCACGAAACATAAACTGAGAAGGGCAAATAACTTTAATGTCCAATGTAATGAGGAACCCATCACTTCAGTTTCCTCAGTAAAATATCTGGGAATCTTCTATGACTCATGCATGTCAGGAGAATTGATAAGGAACAGTGTAGTTTTAAAAAAAGCGAATGCCAGACTGAAATTCCTCGACAGACAAACAGACACAGTGTCTACCTACTGAGGCTCGCAAGACCCTGCGTCTATAGATGAATGGTTCAGAGAACCGACATGTTGATAAATTAGACACGTGTGCAACTCTTGGGTATCTTTATTGAGGAAACGTTTCGCCACACAGTGGCTTCATCAGTCCATACAAAGGAGAATCTTGAAGAACAGGAGGAGAATGAGGTAATCAGTCCCTCAACCTTGAGTCGATGTGGTCAGTCCATCATCAATCTTGAATAGAATACGGCATACGTACGGAGAAGGAGCTTATAAACCGTAGACAGGAGAGGTGCAGCAGTCATAGGTGGTGTCACATTTGTTCAATGTGGAAGTAGGTCGTGCCCAATTGAACAAATGTGACACCACCTATGACTGCTGCACCTCTCCTGTCTATGGTTTACAAGCTCCTCCGCACGTATGCCGTATTCTATTCAAGATTGATGATGGACTGACCACATCGACTCAAGGTTGAGGGACTGATTACCTCATTCTCCTCCTGTTCTTCAAAATTCTCCTTTGTATGGACTGATGAAGCCACTGTGTGGCGAAACGTTTTCTCAATAAAGATACCCAAGAGTTGCACACGTGTCTAATTTATCACCCTGCGTCTAGCCCTTATACAGTGTCATATGGATTACTCTTGCTCTTCATGGTACTCTGCCTTGACAAAAACTGGAAGATAGACTGCAAATCACCCAGAACAAAATGGTAAGATTCATCCTGGACCTGGATCCAAGTGAGCATGTAGGCCAGGATGAATTACAGCAGTTGGATATACTGAATGTTGAAGACAGAGTAAAACAACTGAAGTTAAATCAAGTTTATAAAATTGCTCACAAACAGTGTCCAGAATATCTTGCTGCTAATTTTGTCAAGGTTGAGAACCAAAGCAATCATGGGCCAAGCCCATGATGACACTCTTCAGGTCACTTGTTCTATCTAGGCTGGAATATTGCTGCACACTAACAGCACCTTTCAAGGCAGGTGAAATTGCCGACCTAGAAAATGTACAGAGAACTTTCACGGCGCGCATAACGGAGATAAAACACCTCAATTATTGGGAGCGCTTGAGGTTCCTAAACCTGTATTCCCTGGAACGCAGGAGGGAGAGATACATGATTATATACACCTGGAAAATCCTAGAGGGACTAGTACCGAACTTGCACACGAAAATCACTCACTACGAAAGCAAAAGACTTGGCAGACGATGCACCATCCCCCAATGAAAAGCAGGGGTGTCACTAGCACGTTAAGAGACCATACAATAAGTGTCAGGGGCCCGAGACTGTTCAACTGCCTCCCAGCACACATAAGGGGGATTACCAACAGACCCCTGGCAGTCTTCAAGCTGGCACTGGACAAGCACCTAAAGTCAGTTCCGGATCAGCCGGGCTGTGGCTCGTACGTTGGTTTGCGTGCAGCCAGCAGCAACAGCCTGGTTGATCAGGCTCTGATCCACCAGGAGGCCTGGTCACAGACCGGGCCGCGGGGGCGTTGACCCCCGGAACTCTCTCCAGGTAGTACTAGGGGGAGAGAGCACAACTTTGTAGTAGCCACAGTCAGTGGCCAGGCTTCAAACACCTTTTATTGTACAGCAGTAAAGGAATGGAACAGACTGCCTGCACATGTCAAAGCCAGTCATAGCATGAACCAGTTCAAGAAGAGTGCCAAAAAGTACCTAATGAATGTAGCCACAGAAAGGGAGGAGAATGACTTTTTAATTTTTTTTTAGCTAACACACATGTAAATATAAACAACTATACGTTATTCCAAGTATATCTCCTTTATAGTATGATAATAAGTTATTATCTCCTTTATAGTATAATAATAAGATATTATCTCTTCCTTTATAGTATAATAATAATAAGGTATTAAAAGGACCCCAATGGAAATAAGTCACTTGGATTTTTTTGGGTTATCCTAGGTTATTTACACATATTCTGCTATGTATGACAATCTATGTAACTGGCCCGGTGGCCTGGTGGCTGAAGCTCCCGCTTCACACACGGAGGGCCCGGGTTCGATTCCCGGCGGGTGGAAACATTTCGACACGTTTCCTTACACCTGTTGTCCTGTTCACCTAGCAGCAAATAGGTACCTGGGTGTTAGTCGACTGGTGTGGGTCGCATCCTGGGGGACAAGATTAAGGACCCCAATGGAAATAAGTTAGACAGTCCTCGATGACGCACTGACTTTCTTGGGTTATCCTGGGTGGCTAACCCTCCGGGATTAAAAATCCGAACGAAATCTTATCTTATCTTACCATGGGCGGGGTTAGAACCCGCGACCAGAGAGTCTCAAAACTCACTTGAGACACCTCCACCCTTACCCCCAACATTAACAACCACCTACCAGAGCCTCTACAGCAAGATGACAGCTATTACTTTGCAGAATAAACCTTATCAATATATTCTACCAAATATCTATACCTCTGAAATCAGTAGAGATTCATTTAAATCAGATTAATATGGATTATATTAAAGTTTTAACATTCTCGCTATAGGGCCACTGTGAGGAATCTGCAGCCGGACAGTGTAGAATGTCCACATACATTGACAAAAAAGGTTTATAATTTTGCCTGATTGGTGGGTGCTTTTGTTTAAATAATAAATAACATGTGAATGAGGAATAAAATCAAGGAATTTCTCTAAACTGAGATGGAATATTTCTGAGGAGGAGGATTGGTGGAGGTCCTCCATCTTGGCTCAGCTGACTCTTGTTGTGGTAAGATTTATCCACCTCGAAAAAGCGCCTGTGTGAGGTTTTTTTTTTAGGTGAGTTATGGTGTCAGTGGTGAGGGTGCAGTGTGGTGACCTTGTGCAGCCTCCCCGTGTGCTGCACCAGGCTGGGAATATGGTGGAGGAGGGTAAAATAGGCCTGGGTGAGGCTCCCGGTGATCTGTCCAGTACTTAACTTTACGTATTTTTTTTTATTTTTAAGCTTTTTTTTTTTTCTTCTCGAGGAAGCTTCCTTGATGCCGGCGAGGGGATCTTCATCCAAAGAAATGGAGCTGCTCTCTCCTTTCTTGCATTAAACCTCATTGCCTCACCCCAGGAGCTGTATGCCACCCTACGGGTTTAGCACTTTCCGTAGATGTAATAATAAGTTTTAACTCTTAGTCGTTTTGAGCCAGTTAATGCCATTAATAGGCTCTAGCTCCAGGAGACTTGCCCTCCCCTTGGATCGAACCTGGATACCTTTAATTTTCCCCATTATTTTTTATGGTCCCATTGGGGTAGGAGGCCAAAGGTATCCCAAGCTTCCCCCCCCATACATTATTCACTAACGTGCACTTGTTTGCTTTCAGCGTCGGAGACGATGCTGCGTATAGGAGTGTCTCGCTTACTTCAGCATGGCAGCAGACACACTGCTGCCTCCGCCGCCGCTGCCAGTGCCGCGCGCGCTCAGTCATCGGCTCCGGAGAAGATAGAGGTTTTCATCGATGACATCCCTGTTATGGTGCCACCGGGAACTACTGTACTGCAGGTAATATACAGCCTCTCCTCACTTAGTGACGTACTTGTTTGCCGACGCCTCGGACTTACAACGGGCTCTCTGACCAGTATTTATATCTAAATAATGTATATTAGAGCTGATTTCCTCTTTTCTGTTTATTTCAATATACATTACTGTATAAACATTTAAAAATATACCAGAAATGTTATAAATGGTGCAAAGATGACATTAAAACAGTATCAGAGGTGGTTGACACAAACCCACTACCATTATAGTATGCTCCTCACTTAGCCACAAATTCGTTTAACGACATGGTCTTCAGAACGGAACTCCATTGTTAGGTGAGGAGAGGCTGTATAAAATATTGTAAGGACCCCAGTGGAAAATAGCCACTTCGTCTGATTTCTTTTTTTTTTTTTTTTTTTTTTGCTGTCCTAGGTAATTTACACATTACTATGTATGATAATTGTAATCACCGAATTTGTGTAAATTTTCTTATATGTACCTATACCTAAATAAACTTACTATCTCATACTGTCTTAATTACTATCTTATACGTACATGCATATGAAAAGAAAATGAGAAAGATTTTATAAAGGATTTGAACGCTTTGTCCCAATAAAACAAATTAAGTAAATAAGAAAAAAATTCAGAAACTGTATCTGTAATAGTATATATCATTTGAGCTATTGAGCACAATTTAAACTAAATTTTATGGTTAGTTTTTAATACAGGGGCCATGTGCCAAGCTTGAAACTCTGGGTACAATACCTCCAGGAAACACATAAATGTTAAAAAATTTTACTAGGTGGAGTTTACAGTTGAAATCCTGATTGAACTTTGTCTGACTTTTTTGGGGGTTATTCTAGGTAATTTACACTGTATGATAATTGTACTTATGTGTATCTGTGCCTATGTAAACTTACAGCTGTCATGGGCTTCAGACTCATCTATTGCATACGGGGACACTTTTATTCTGTATAATTAACCCATGTATGAGCATGTTTGGTTTTTGGGACCTGACAAGTTGAGTGTGAGCAGGGTAGTATTTTGTGAAGGGATTCAGGAAAACTGGTTAGCCGGACTAACATTGAAATGCTAGAAACCTCAGAGGCTTCTAGCATTTTAATGCCCTTCTTTTATGACCATTCCCATTAATTCTTTCCTTTAAATATGTATATTTTTACATGTATACTCAAAAATTACAGATTAATATTTTAAAAGTTTTGTCTTGTTCATAAAAATTTGATTCCTGATACTTAAGTTTTATCTTTATACAAAGACGTAGTGAAAGATTATGATGGAAACTGAAACCATTACACTAGATAATTAAGGCACATGTGTCTTAATTATCAGCTTGTTGGTATTGTAAACCATTATCATATTTCCATTGCAATGTAGTCTGCACAGCTTAAGTTCTCAGGCTGCTGCTGAAGCTGGGGTGGAAATACCAAGATTCTGCTACCACGAGAGGCTCTCAGTGGCGGGTAACTGCCGTATGTGTCTCGTCGAGGTGGAGAAGTCTGTGAAGGTCAGTGACTTCAGTAGACTTGATTTAGTCTTATAATCCATACCTTGATTTATTGTAAATACAGTACATGCAATACATCGCATTAATCTAAAGGAGTTATTAAATCGGCATGCGCTTTAACTATGGTATGCAGAAGAGCATATCTGAATGCACAACACTTCAAACCTTGTGGTGGATGGGAAGCAGCATTAAAGACCACTCTGGGTTCCACTCATGCCAGCTATCTTTTCATTTAGCTCCTTTTTATTTCCTCCATAAATAATGGATTACAGTATTATTATGTGTTCTACATGTGTTCATCTGTTAACATGTTCAACATTGTTTATTCAGCAACACACTCCAGGTAAACTTCTTCTGAAGTAACAATTCAAATGTATGTATTCAAAACAGTAATCATGATTTTATGTGTAGTTTTATGAATTGGAATATCAGATTTAAACAGTGTGCATTGGTTAAAAGTAATGTTTAGTTATACATACTCAAAATGCAATAAGATCACAGTAAACAGGTGATATCACAATATGCAAATCAACCACTGTGAAAAGTGAAATTCCAAGCCCTCTTGTGATTTCTGAAATAATTGAGGACCTTGATAATGTGAAAAATCACGAAAGCACGTGGAATTTCACTATTTTTTTCACTTTTTTTTTTTCATACTCAAAATGAGTTAGATTTAATTATAGACAGGACGATATCAGTTGTTTTGCAAGCACTGATACTTAGAGCAAGATCAAAATTATCCAATACCCACCGATAACAACACTTCAGCATATCACTCGATCTGAGATGTAGTTTATGAATTAAATATAAACTTTGGTTTAGTAAATGTGCAAATTAGAAAATACATCAGGCAGTAGTGGAGAAAAAATATAGGTGGAATGCATCACTAATTCAGCCAGTGAGTGAATTATATTGTGTGGGTAAATTTAATTAGTAGTATATAATACTTTGCCGTTAAATGAACAAACCTTTTTACAGTATCTTAAATAATAACTAAGAACAAAGATCTCATAAATGAACCTAAAAAGATGATAGTGGTGGTATGAGGATATTGGACATTTTTGAAGTTATTCAGCAACTTTAGGAATCCAGAGCATGTGTGTAAAAAATCTAAAGCAGTTTGAGTCATCATTGTTAAGATACTAAAAATATCAGTACACTATTAATTCACAATTTAGAAAGAAAACTTTAGATAACATTACAATTCATCATGGACTGTTGTCAAGCCTCAACTCTGGTTACTGGAGGACCTCGCTTATAAGCAAGTTAGGTTCTGGGCTAATGTTGTAAAGTGAAACATAGCCTTTTTTTACTTTCAAATATATATAAAAGCCTGAATATAAACTATAATATTCTAAACTGTCGTATCTGAGCACCTCTGCAAAGACAGTGATTGTGTGTGAGTGAGGTGAAAGTGTTGAATGATGATGAATGTATTTTCTTTTTGGGGATTTTCTTTCTTTTTGGGTTACCCTGCCTCAGCGGGAGACGGCCGACTTGTTGAAAAAAAAATAAAATAAAAGCCTAATAAAATGTTTACATTGTCATATACTGTATTAAGTGAGCAATATAGCAAGGCCTAAAAAATACACATACAGTACACACATTACTTAAAATATTTTCTTTGTTACCTTATATTGAGTGGTGAATACTGTATATTTATTATAGGAAGTCTGAATAAATGATGAATGGCTATAATTAAAAACCACTGCATTAGCAAAATGCCATAAAGTGAAACGGTGTAAAGTGGAGCTCTCTTGTACTTGATTATGGTTTAGGACATACTGAAAAATTTTCTAAAATTTTCTCCAAATTATGAGTTAATAATGAATGGTTTTAGTCATGGTATTGTGACCTTTTTTTCACAATATCAATGATTACAGTAAGCTTCCTTATGGTAAAAAATTATGTCCAGATGATAGAATTTCAAGTAATCACACTGACCTACTTCTGTGTCTTACTTCCAGCCTGTAGCTGCATGTGCAATGCCAGTGATGAAGGGGTGGCGGATTAAAACAAACAGTGAGATGACGCGTAAGGCTCGTGAGGGTGTGATGGAGTTCTTACTTATCAATCATCCTTTAGATTGCCCCATTTGTGATCAGGGAGGAGAATGTGATCTGCAGGTGAGACAATTTTTTTTTTTTTTAACTACATTGGCCGTCTCCCACCAAGAAACAAAATTTAGTGTATGTTACAAGAATTTTGCACTCAGGCATTGAGTTTATATATTAGGCAGTTAATTAATTTTTCTTCTACTACCCATGATCAAGATGTGGTCTGAGGAGAGAGAGCAGTCTGGATATCAGACATACCTGGAGATATTCTGAGGGCCGATGTCCCCGCTGCTTGGTCCATGACCAGGCCTCATGCTTGAGATTCATTTTTCTTTTCTGTGCTCTTCTCTCTCCCACTGATGTACGGTGACTCAAAAATAGAAGAAATACATTGAGCATCATTCAGTCATTTTATTCTGCAGTTAATAACATTGCACTCCAGTGGAATAACAAGTCATAACACATTCTGTAATATTGCTGCTGTTATATTTCATTAGTTAATGCCAAACCTGGTAGATAATTTTCAAAAAAATTATTTTTGCAAAGGAAGATTTTAATTAAAGATTTAAACCAATTTCTAAAATAGAGATTTATATTGCATGGCTTCATATGAAGGCTTTCAATATGAGTTTTCAATTTCAGTGTTCAAAAAAATTCTTTTGAATTTATACTTAAAATATAGAGTATATTTTATCAGTGGAATGTTTTAATATATTCTGTATTGCTTAGAGACTGATTAAATATTGCTTTATCATCATTGTCTTTTTTTTTCTTAACACGTAGGCTGTCTCCCACCAAGGCAGGGTGTGTTATATAGTATCATAATAGACAAGAGGGTAGAGATATTGTACATATATTTCAGATTGGGTGGGGAAGTTGCAGTTCAATGAGTCATTTGAACTGTGATGTCCATGTACTTCCTGCAAGACTGGTATTGAGCAAATGAAAGTGAATGTCTCACGAAATCGTAATGACACGATTGCAAACAAACTATACTCTCTGACCGCAGGATCAAACCCCACCCGTGGTATGGTTTGATAGTGAATGTGTTTTCTTAGTGTCACCCTGCCTTGGTGAGGCACAACTGATGTTACTAAAGAGAATCCAGATTTTCCGTCTGTTGACTGGATCATGAGGCTGAATGGAAACCGGAGGGGTTTTATTACTTAATTTTTTAAATCTTAACAGGATCAGTCGATGACCTTTGGTTCTGATAGGACTCGCTTCTTGGACACAAAGCGAGCTGTTCAGGACAAGAACATTGGTCCCCTCGTTAAGACCATCATGACAAGATGTATTCACTGTACACGCTGTGTTCGCTTTGCAACAGAGGTGAGAGTCCTTTCTAGGGTCATAAAATAACTTCCATTACAACTTTTGTCAAGAAAGGTGTAGGTTCAATCCCTGGAGTTAAAAAAAATATTTGATGTACTGGAGAATTTTATGACCAATGTGTCTATGCATAGTGTATAGTATTTGTGATTGTTGATCATTGCTTCCATGATTTAAAGTTGAAATTTAAAAAAAAAATGTAAATGTAGTTAATTGGTTCAGTATATGGTTAGGTGAGAAATACATTGAAAAGTCACATATCTAGAATGTTGATAATGTTACAGGAACATGAATTATAGACTAATCTAATAGTAAATCATTATAACAGCAGTTCTGGAGCTAATAAATGGTATATTAGTAATTGGTTTATTAAGTTAATGACTGTTCTTATTTATGTTTTGAATGATTAAACATTCATTCTTTATGTACAATCATTTGTGATATATATTATTATGACTTACTGTTTGTACTCTCATACAAACAGTAAGCTGGAATGTCGTAAATCAGAGCTGTAGTACTGTGCTTCAACTAATAACTTATGTACTAATGAAATACTGTGTTCACTAGAGAGAATTCATTCAATTTATGAACTCTATTTGTGATTACCATACATACAGTAGTCCCCCCTATCTGTAGGGATATGTTCCAAGACCTACATGGATGCCCGAAACCACGGATAGTAGCTAACCCTATACATGTATATAAGTTGTTTTTCATTCTTTTCTTTCAACGTACCAGCCGTATCCCACCGAGGCGGGGTGGCCCAAAAGGAAAAACGAAAGTTTCTCCTTTTACATTTAGTAATATATACTGGAGAAGGGGTTACTAGCACCTTGCTCCCGGCATTTTAGTCGCCTCTTACAACACGCATGGCTTATGGGGGAAGAATTCTGTTCCACTTCCCCATGGGGGTAAGAGGAAATAAACAAGAACAAGAACTAGAAAGAAAATAGAAGAAAACCCATAGGGGTGTGTATATATATGCTTGTACATGTTTGTGTAGTGTGACCTAAATGTAAGTAGAAGTAGCAAGACATACCTGAAATCTTGCATGTTTATGAGACAGACAAAAGACACCAGCAATCCTACCATCATGTAAAACAATTACAGGCTTTCGTTTTACACTCACTTGGCAGGACGGTAGTACCTCCCTGGGCGGTTGCTGTCTACCAACCTACTACCTAGTTGTTTTTCATTCACATACATAATTATGATAGTTTAATTGATAAATTATGCACAATAAGTCGTTAATTAGCACTTTTTTACTGATGGAAAGAATTTCACAGCTTCTCTTAGGTTTTGAAGAACTGCTGTCATCATTACTTTTGTGCTTTGGGGCCATTATGAAGCAAAATTAAGGGTTATTTCTGGGCCATGGTAAACTGCGGATAACTGAAATTGCGGAAACCAAATCTGTAGATAAGATAAGATAAGATTTCGTTCGGATTTTTAACCCCGGAGGGTTAGCCACCCAGGATAACCCAAGAAAGTCAGTGCATCATCGAGGACTGTCTAACTTATTTCCATTGGGGTCCTCAATCTTGTCCCCCAGGATGCGACCCACACCAGTCGACTAACACTCGGGTATCTATTTGCTGCTAGGTGAACAGGACAATAGGTGTAAGGAAACGTGTCGAAATGTTTCCACCCGCCGGGAATCGAATCCGGGGCCCTCCGTGTGTGAGGCGGGAGCTTTAGCCACCAGGCCACCGGGCCACCCAACTGCAACCTTCTCTTGTAGATGCAGGACCAGATCACCAGAGGTTAAGTTTACTAAGGTAATCATTAGGTAAACTTTGCTTATATTTATATCTTTTTCACTAATCATATACGTATATTGAACATTATATGGGATGTTGCTGTACTTTATTATTATTATGATTATCTTATTGTATTATTATCATGTTTATAATTTTTTATGTTTAGCCTGTATTTCTTTATATGTTCATGCTCAATAATAACCCACATGGAGACAGGAGCACAGGAGGTTGATTGATCTGTATATTTTGACCCCCTTTTAGGATTCCTCTTCAGCAGAAGGGGTTGAAATATACAAGATCAACTAACCTCCTGAGTTTCTATCTCCATGTGGGTTACTATTGAGCAGTGATAGGTGTTTATTACACTTTAGTTATTCTTTAAACATTTTTATCATTGTTAAATAATTTTCATTAAGGAGAATGTTATTGCTAAATTAGTCCGTCCACTGACCAGATTGCTGGTGTGGAAGACCTAGGCACAACTGGACGAGGAAATGACATGCAGATTGGAACTTACGTGGAGAAGATGCTCATGTCTGAATTGTCTGGCAATGTAATTGACCTTTGCCCTGTGGGAGCCCTCACCTCAAAGGTAATCTTTGTTGTGGTAAACCTGTTTTAAGAAACTATTTACAATTGGCCATTCCCAAGCGAGGTAGGGTAGCTCAAAGATGAACATGCATTGACCTTCACTAATTAAATAGTGGTTTGTCTTTTTTTTTTTTTTTTTTTTTTAGTTAAATGCACAGTTGCTCAGGATTTTTTTTAATTTGTCAGTATAATATTCCATGATTCTGATAAGTCCAACATCATTATTGCTATACATTACACTTGCATTGCTACTGTAAATTTTATCATGCAAGAGAAGGTTTTACAATGTAGAAATATTCAAACACTAATCTTTACAAAAAGGTTATAAAGAATTTTGTGTGATAAAGATCACAGATGTATTCTGCATAATTCTGTTCAACGAATACTGGCAAAAGTGCCCTAAGGTGGTGGTGGACTGGGAGAGAATGGGTATTTTTGCAGATTACAAGAGAAAGTGTAAGATATGGGATTAGGGGTTATCTCCCTAAGTCATCTTCATGTAGTCAAAACATACAGTGGAACCAAGATTTTCAGCTGTAATTTGTTCTAGAAGGTCGGCCTAAATCCAAAAAGGCCGAAAACCGAATATTTCCCATAAGCTGTTGAAATGTGAGCAGGGTAATATTTTGTGAGGGGATTCAGGAAAACCGGTTAGCCAGACTTGAGTTTTGGAAATGGGAAGTAAAAAAGCCTGCACTTTAAAGGAGGAGTTTGGGATATTGGAAGTTTGGAGGGACTTCTGAACTGTCGTGTTGAGCGCTTCTGCAAAGACGGTGATTATGTATGAGTGAAGTGAAAGTGTTGAAATGATGATGAAAGTATTTTCTTTTTGGGCATTTTCTTTCTTTTTGGGTCACTCTGCCTCAGTGGGAGATGACAGACATGTTAAAAAAAAAAGCAAATAACCTTTCCAAACACCCAAAAATATTAACAAAAATACATTTTTTAAAGATTAACTGTAGTTTTTTCATACATAAAACAATGAGAACTAAATAAAATGACTATTGAAAAAATAAATAACTTTAAAATCACATTTCCTATATTGAAGTTCTTTTTGGGCATATAAAAGACGGGGAGGGGGAGAGGGGAAGGACTGTTTATTGTTTGGAAAGGGGGAATCCCCCCCCATGAGGATTCGGGTATAAAGTCGCTATCCAAGTCACGTCCCTTCTTTTCTTTTACGGGCCAAAACCCACGGGAAAGGTCACTGACCCTGCCCACACAAAAAAAACTGTCCAAGAGGTCTGTTCTTGCGTCTCTTCAAGATTTCCTGAAGGGGGAAAAAAGGTTTTTGTCACTAACATTTTCAGATATGGCTTGTTTCACTTGGCCATGGTGAAAATTTCTCCACAAAATTTGCATCTCACTCCTTTTGAACAAATGTACTTAACGTGAAGGGGGCACCAAGGACAAGGTTTTGTCTCTGAGATTTTGCAGATATGGCTTTTTTTTCAGCTTGTTTAGGGTGATATTTCTCCATAAAACTTTGCCCTCCCTGGGAACTTTTTTTTGGGGGCCCATGGTGGCTTTCGAAGTTGCACTCAATAAAAAACCACAAAAAACAATGGATTAAACAAATGCTTGGAAATCGGGGGTTTGCTCCCCCCGAAAACAACCCAATACTCACACTGCAGGGGGCGGGAAAACATGTCCAATCAGGATTTCCCAAATTTCCGGTTGAATTCCGGGAAAATTTTTCGCCAAAAAAAAGCGACCGAAATCTGATTTGGTGATATCCGGGGGCTTGTTTTAAATTTTAAATTTTTTATTATATTTTTTTTCCTCTTTTGCTTGTTCTACTCTAAAAATTTTCATTCTTTACTAAAAGTTTGCCCCTTTTTTTTTTATTATTATTAAAATCTGTTTTTTCGGACGCAGAATTTTACTTTTCCCAAAAAAATTTATTACATAATGTATAGTTTTTTGTTTGTGTAATTTTAGAATTAATGAATTTGTTTTGCTGTGCCAACAAAAAGTCAATCAGTATAAAAAAATTCAAAAGTTTTTGTAAAAGTCAATATCTAAACACTTGGGGGGTTTGTTGATGTGTACAATAGTTAACTTTTAAAATCATGTTTTTTCCCACCATAGCCTTCAGCACGTCCGGGGGAAAATTTGGGCGCACGGACTCCATTGATGTGAGGATGCCGTTGGGTCGAACATTGTTGTTAACCATCGCACGGGAGAATGTGAGAATTCTCCCTCAAAAAAAAGAGGAATATTATGCTTTTTGTATCGGTATATGACAAAAATAACCCCAAGGGGAAAAAAAACTTATGAAGGTTTCGATCTACTTCTGCCCCAAGTCTGCCCGAAACGTTGTAAAAAGTCTTCCCTTTTATGCGGGTTATTTTGTGTTTTTTTTCCAGTCTGGTATTGTCCTTTGTTTCTGAGATGATTTTGAATAACATGGTGTACAAAGGTCTTAGAATATAAAGTTTCTAGGTTATTAAATGTAACAAACTTGTTATAAACAGGAGATCAATGAAGATGGCTCTCCGAAAACCCCGCTTTGCCTAGATGGCTTGAAGGTCAACGCTTGTTTTTCCCAAATGGAAAAGGGATTCATCGGGAGCTGGCTTTTTGCAGTGGGGGACCCCCTTATTGGGGGGCAAAAGGCCCTTAAAATCCCTGATGGTTTCTGTTGCTGCGATTGCTGGAGGTGGGCTGTCATGAAGTTAGTTGAGACTTTGGGGTCAAGTGTTTCAGATCTTTTTTGGAACTCTCCTCCCTAACAGATCCCCTTAGCACACAGGTGTTCCCGACCTGTCAAGTGCCGAAGTTCTACCGGGAGTTCTGCTTGAGGCCTCTTACTGCCTTTTAAAAATATTTTGGAAATTGCCTGATTCAAAAAAATAGGTGTGTGCAAAATTCTTATTTTACAAAATTTTTTTAAACTAGTAAATAAAACGATTTTTGTTGAAAACCACAAGATATTTCCTAAAAAGGCCCTTTTTTTTGGATGAGAAGCAAGCATGTCCCTTTTTTTTTTTCCCGATCAAATTCCCCCAATCATCCCATTCCCCTTTGTATTAACTATGATAGGAAATACCAAATACACAAAAAACCTACAAAAAAGAGAAGTTACGACGACTTTCGGCCGATTTGCCCATTGACTACACACAGTGGACTTTGTAAAGGGGTCCAAAGTCGGACCAAAACGCATTGAACTTCTCTTTTTGTGCAGTTTTTTGGTATCGTTCCGCCCACGGTATTGTCCCTTTTTTTTTGTTTTTTATTGTTACAAACCAAAAGTTTTGCTGCCACCAGTTTTCAATTTAAAACCAATATGGACCAAAAAAATTACCAAGACCCCCAATACCTTGGAAACCCCCCATTATAAACCCATATGTTTTAATTAGACTTTAATGAATAAAATAAAATCCATCCCTTTCATATTAAATCACTGATAAAACGTAAGAATTCTTTTTTTCCTAAAGGGCTGGTTGCGCAGAGTCTCTATTTGCACTGAAAATTTGTAAAACAAGCTGGGTGGGGAATTCCTGTCGAGGGGGTAAGTGTCGCTTCTGTCAAATAAAAAAATTTTTTTTATTTTTTTAACACACAGCCATCTTTTGCAAAGGTGAGTGCCAAAAAAAAAAAAAAAAAAACCCCTTTTTTCTCCTTCATTCAATGTGTTTTGCCAAAGGATAGACACTTATTGCTTGCCCTTTTTAAATTTAAACTTCACCCCTCTTCCAGAGTGCGGGCACTGTTTTCCCACACCCAAGACTACATCCGGCAAATTTGGTTTTCCCCTAAAACCCGGGAGATAAGTTTTTTAAGTTTAGGGAAATACATGGATCAGGGAGTATGGGGGAGTGTAAAGACAAAGTTTTAGGTGGGGGAAAAGGGGGTTTTGACAAGTTTGCCCTTGTCCTGAACTCTTATTATGTGAGGGAGCTGTATGATGATGTTGGGGGGCCCTTATGTATGATGAGGCTTTTGGGGTTTCCCTGTAGGGTTTTTGGGGTACCCCTGCAACATGGGATGGGTGGGGGCCCCTGTACTATAATGATGGGAGAGTAAAGGTTTAAAATTGGTGCTAATTTTTCACTGGCCAGACTTGTCTATCCGCAGTTGTTGGGATGCAAAAACCATCACCCAACATAGCCCCACCCCTTGTTCTTATGAGGATGGACCTTTAAATTTTGTTGATTTTGGGGTGCAATTAGTTATTGTACGGGACCTTTTTGGGTTATGGGGTTTAATGTAAATTAAATTTTTTGGGAAACCATTAGGGGGGCTTGACCCCGGGAGGTGAGAATAAGTCCCGCATTCGAAGGGGGGGTGGAGATTTTTTGCATTTTTTTGTACTGTAAAGGCGTCCCTCTGGAAACCCCGTGAGGGAGTAAACGATTGAGAGTGTTTTTTTTTTTCTTGTCCCTTCCCTCGGGGGAAAGGGGCTGATATTTTTTAAAAAAAAAAAATTTTTAAATAATATCAACTGGGTAGATGTAAGCTTTTAGATGTGATGGAGAAAAACGGGCCCCAAATATTTTTTTAATTTTCAACCTAATTCACATGTCATTGCAGATTTTCCCTGATGTGGAACTGGCATGACCTTCGTTCTTCTACTTGCTCAACACAAAAATTGTTGGGTTTGAGGAACGTTTTGATTGTGTTTTTGGGTCCCAAACCCTGATTGAAGCTCCGCTTTTCAATCCGTGTTGCAAAGCATGATGTACAAAAATTAAATGGCCCCAAAATTGGGCCCAAAAATTGATCTTACTTACATTGCGAGGTGGGGTGTTTTAATGTTGCCTTTGGTGGAAATGTGTGGGGGGTTCGAAAGACATTTTTAAAAAAAACACTTGCAAAAAAATCTCTCTAAAAATTCACCCATGTTTACTTTTTGTAAAGTAAGATTTTGACAGTTTAAAAAACAAAAAAAAGGGGCCCTCCAAAATGGGGGGAACCATGAAAACCCCTGTTGTTAATATATAACTACGTTGCTGTTGAACTACTGTTTAAATGCTATTTTACAAATAGCATAATGATTTTTTAACATCGGGTATTTCAGCATTTGGGGAGACGTCCTTCAATTGGAAAACTTCTGAATTTGGGGTCACCCCCTTTTCCACAAGTTTTAAACCTGCCAAACGCCCCAAGATTGTGTTGGGACTTCCCCTTTGGCTCGCCCGAGGAGGTGTATTTACATCAGTTCTGCAACTGTCCCGAAAGAAGCTAAATTAAGTCTTTGTTTTACCAAAATTTTCCCAAATCGGTTTTTCCTAAATTTATAAATTTTTTTTGTTTAAAATTTGTATTATACATGCTCATTTCTGTAATAATTTCCGTATGTGTGGTGAACCACCAAAGAATCATTTCATTTTATACATTGATGTGTTATTATGTGGTTTGTTAATAGACTGGGGGGGTTTTTGAGTGGTTTCAACTTTTAAGAGGATGGAACATTTTAGGAGATTTTGGGAGAATATTAAACTATAGTGGGGGAAAGGTAGAAAAAGGGTTTAGGTAAAAGAAAAAAGTAAACAATGTAATTTTTATTGGGGCAATTTTTGCTCCCAGGAGCTTTATCAAGCCATTACAAACAATACTGGACCACAGGGTATAAAAACTAGAAGGAGGTGAAACAGTGGCGGTAGTAGAGCAGTATAGAATTTTAGAGTTTTTGTTAATACGTTGGCGAGCAATCAGTTAAAATGAGTAAAAGGTTAAAAAAGCAGTTATTTGGGGTAGCATAAAAAAGGTTAACAAATAAAGGGATAAGGTTGTCCTAGGAAAGGTTGGAGGGGAAGGGGTAAAGGAGGTTTTGTGTGCAAGGGGGTTAGACCTCCCTGAGCGGTATGAACAAATTAGATGAATGAGTGGAGGCAAATGTTTTATGACTTGCATACTGTTGGAGTGTGAACATGGTAAATTTACAAGGGAAATTAGGAAAATGTTAGCCAATCAGTCCTGGGAGGGAACCCCTTTTTTACAAATTATTTTCCCCCCCCTTTAGTTGCCCAAATTTAGGGGGTTTTGTTTGCCTTTTTGTTTTGTTTTTCTGCGCCGCGCAATGGGTGTGAAGGTGGAGCCGAAAGGCGGTGTTAAATGTGGCAGGGGTGGCCCCACAGGGGCCGCTTTGACCCGGGTACATCCCGGGGTACAACACTGTAACCATCCCCCCAAAGTGTTGTATCTTTGGGGGCTGATGAAAGGGCCCTTACCCCGGGGCCAGCTTCCAAAGGCATGTTTTTATTATCGGTTCTTGGGTTGGGTTTTTTCTTTGTAAGAGAGGGAAGTACAAACCCGCATTGTAGCAAGACAGTTGGGGGCACCTCACCTCATTGGGAGATGGGCCCCATGAAATCCAAAAAACCCTTTTAGAAGGGGAAAAACCATGAAAATTTTTATTCAGTATGTGGTTTCTTTGTTTGGGTGGATTTGTGGGGATAGAGGTAAGTAGGTTGTAACGCAGCCACCCCGGGAGGTACTACCGTCCTGCCAATGAGGGAAAAAGAAAACGTAAAGGTTTTTCATGGGGTAGGAAAACTGGTGTCTTTTTTCTGTCTCATAAAAAATGCAAGATTCAGTTAGTCTTGCTACTTTTACTTGCACTTAGGTACACACACATAATGTACATGTTTATGTAAAATACTCATAAGTTTTCTTTGTTTTTTTCTTAATATTTTGTTTTTATTGCTTTTCCTTTTTTTATCCATGGGGGAAAGGGGGAAAAAAAATCTTTCCTCCATAAACCAATGTTGTAAAAGAAAATAAATGTTGGAACAAGGGGTGTAACCCCATTTCCGTATAGCCTACAAAAAAAAAAAAAGAAGAAAACCGCAAAATGGGATTTTGAATGTCGTGATTTTGGAAGATAAAAAAAGATTTTGTGAAGTTATAAAAGAGAAGAAAAGCTGGTTTTTTTCCCGGGTTTAAATGAACAAAACTGAAAATGGGGGAGAGTTTATTGGGGAAAATAAATGAATTTGGGCAGGGGTTTAAAAAAAATTAGAACTAAGAAGGAGTTTAATAATGTTGAAGAATAAGTTATGGGAGGAAAAAGGGAAAATAAAAGTATTATTCAAGGATTTTGTGGGTAAAATAAAAAGGTTGGATGGGGGAAGAAGTGTAGAGAAGGGGCGAAAGATTTTGGGGAAAAGTTTATAGTGTGTTGGGAGTTTTTGAACCAAATGTAGGTTTCTTGTGGGTTTGGGGTTTCAATGCTAAAGTGGGTAAAAATGTTGTGGAGGGGGTAGTAGGTAAAAGTGGGATGCCAGGGGTAAATAAAATGGGGAGCCTTTAATTAGCAAGTGTAGAAAGAGGGTTTTGTAATAAAAACATATTTTATGAAAAAAGGATAATAAGTATACATGGCCTCAATAAACGTCTGGCGGATTCGTCCCCTTTTCGAAAACGTCACGTTATTTCGTCCAAAATTGGTGCAAATGGTTGTTGACTCCTAATGTCTTTGTCCTGGCCTATCAGCTCTTAGGCCCCGCCTCCCCTTTCCCCGCCATGTCCATTGTTTCCCGGGCGCGTTTTCCCCATTGTTTAACGAAATATTTTATAATATTCCATTCCTTTTAGTGTTCAATGCTAAAAAAGCTACCATGGCTCCAAAAAACTCCTAGTGCCAAGCCTTGGGAAAGAAGGTGAGAAATATGATTGAATTTTAAAAAAACATCATTGAACAATTGAAAGGGCAATTGTGGGGGAACTGGCAGAATATAAACAAATCCGTAAACCTTCTTCCATCGGGCCAAAAAAAAGGAAATAAGAAGCGTGTTCAAAATAGATCACCAACTTTAAGATGTGAAAGTTATTTTGGGTGGATAAAAGAGAAACAAATTGAGGATATAGTTTAGACGTCAAATTTTTTGTGAAAAAGGTAGGCGGCATGACGATTTGGTAAAAAAAATTCCTGCAATAGTGTGATGTGAGTAATTTAAGGCCAAAAAAAGGCTGTTTTAGAGTTTAGAGCTTTTCTGACATCACTGTGTGATAAGGGATGGTGAGGCGCCAGTTGGACAAAAAGGGCTGAAAAAATGGCAGAATTTAAGGGTACTAGAGGCTGAAGGATGAAACCGAACAAGTGTTCAATTGTGGGGAAAAAAAAAGGCCTTTTTGGAAAAAATGCCAAAAAGGACCTACATTACTCAGGAGAAAAAGGGACGCCAGGACACAAGTCATGACAGACAGCTGAGCCATGTTTTGTGCAAAAGCTATGGGGATTTCAAAGTGAAGCCCTTTTTAGGTACCTTCTAAAAACCCAGGGGTTCCCCGAAAAAATGTTATGAAGAGAAATTGTGTGGTTTTGGGATCTAAAAATAAGGCATGGGGCACGAGGAAAATTTTTCGTGAGTGGTTCAAGAAGTGTTTGGGCCCCAGTGTGAAAAATTTAATTTTTTTTTTTTCTAACAAGTCGGCCGTCCCCACGAGGGGAGGGGACCCAAAAAAAAAAGAAAAAACCCCAAAAAGAAAATACTTTTATCATCATTTAACACTTTTACCACACTCACACATTACACTGTTTTTTTAAGGTGCTCAGAAACAACGTTTAGAAGCTATACATATAAAAATACATCGCTCATCCTCCAAATTGGATGACCTAACTTGAAGGAGTTTGGGTTCACAAGTAAAGTTCTTGCCCCGAATACCACCCTTTCCTCCAGCCATGGACCGGTATTTCAAACTTTAAAAAACTCCACCAAAACAATGTTTGAAAGGGGCTTTAATGTGCCTCAGACACTCACTTGACCCAAGATTTTTGGGAAAAAACACTTTGTATTCCCATTGCATAAGCCTTTTAAAGGAAGCTTGGGAGGGGTGACTATCAGGACTTTGACTCTGTTGGGGAAAATTGTGGCCAGTTGTGTCCACAAGAGGGGTTTTGAAGGGTTTGAGGCAGCCCCGAAGGCCCATACATTGTGAACTTATTTTGGGATGGGGGGTTCCCGGGGTTGGGGTTTGGAGTTTGGAATGGGAAGATTGGGGGAGGCCACCAAAAAAGAGTACCACTGAGGAGCTGCAAAAGCTTCACAGGAAAAGCAAAGATTGCAGCTCAGAACTTGCGCAGAGAGGAGGGAAAATGATGGAAAAAAGGGCCTTTTCGAAAATTGGGAAATTTTTTTAAAAGTGGGGTAGGGTGGAAAGATTTATGGGGAAACACCCCCCTGGAAGGGTGTCAAGCCTATCGGGAACTTGTACAGTGCAGAGTCTTGGCCCATTTTTGGCAAGTTTTTTAAAGAGCGCAGAAACAGAGCCTCTGGACAGTTTTTGCGAGACAGGGCTCCAGGACTCTCAAATGGTCCTGGTGGCATTAAGAAAAGAGAAAGAATCTTTCTTTCAAAACCCCTGGCCGTTCCCACCAGGCGGGGGGGGGCCCCAAAAAAAAAAACAAATTTTTTTCCTTTTTCATTTATAATATAACAGGGAAGAGGGTTTTAGCCCCTTGCCCCCGGGATTTTAGTCGCCCCCTTTCAAAACCCCTTTCTTACGGGGGAAGAATTTTGTTCCCCTTCCCCCTGGGATAAAGAAATAAACAAAAATAAGAATAGAAAAAAAACAGAAACCCCGAGGGGTGTTATATATGTGCTTGTACATTTGGT